CCTCTAACTGTGTTCAAAACACCTGAACTGCTTCATACCTTCCTGGAAGCACCACTGAGCATCAAATGAGACAAACATTACAGAAATATGTGCTGGAAATGGCATCACCCCCATTTTGGGGTTTCAGGATCACCCACTCTTCCCATGTTTCCCTCCCTCAAAATAGAACAAAGATGCTAACTGCAAAGGTATGTAAAAAAAAATAAAGAAAAAACTGGTACAGTTTTTTTAATGTCTTTTTTTTTCCCTGTTACAATTTTTTGTTTAATGTCTCAACTTTTGTTCTAGGAAAATTCTGATCTATGAAATGCTGCTTGAAATAAACGGGCCACTGGCTGGACATTGGAAATGTTTACATGTTTCTTGAAAAGACATTTGTTAATTCCTAATGATGTAGAAACAATGAGAAAGTTATTGAAAATTAATTTATGCTCTTTTTTTGAAAGTCTATATATATAGGCAATTATGCCCCAAGCATACATTCCGCTTACCATTAAATCTATTTGTTTCAAGGGAAACTGAAGCCCCAAGCAGGGAGTCCACTTCCACATTACACATCTGGGAGATGACCTGACCTCACTAGTTAAATATTTTTCATGTGTATTTATTCACTGAATTAGTAATACAGACATGCACATGACTGAAAAATGTAAGCCATAATAGGGGACTCAGTGCCATCTCCCTCTCACTAGCTCTTTTCTGGGTGTCCCTATGTCAGTTTCCAGTTTTATTTTTGCAAATTCTCAAATCCTGAAAGGCTGGGAAGGGCCAAGGAAAGCGAAATGACTAGATTACATCTGAATAAAAGGATTTCTTCTCAGGCGTGCTTGTTTGCCCCCTTCACAGTCTGCAAGTTTCCTGAGACTTGAAACAACAGCAACACTCAGCTACTACTCACAGCATCTTTTCAAGAAAATTCGATTTTTAATTTGCGAATGTGCAAAGGAAATGATTCAGACATTTCTCCAGCACTTGGTTAAGAAGTTTCATCTTGTCCCATTTTTCATTTTCTTTAAAACTGTTACCTTTTTCTTCTGTCAAGGGTAGAAGTGAATAAAGGAAAGCTTTGCTCTTGGACTACATTGAGATCCTTAGACTTTAGTCCAGGGCGATACACACAAGACATAAAATATTAACAAAAACGTCCTTAATTTCCCTTCACCTAATTCAGTATCTGTAATCCCTCTCGGATTACAGAGGCTTTCCTCTACATTTCTGTGTAAAGAAAAGGTGTGGGGAGCCAATGAACAGCGGCAGACAGTTAGGCTGTGCGCCTAGCCCAGTGTGGCATTACAATAGTACAGACCAAGCAGAATAAAAGTCTAATTGTGAAAGGATGCTTGAAGCCTGATCTGCTAACCAAATATCTACTCCCGAGTTTTAAATTGACCATGAAAGCCAAAAATCATTTTAAAAAAACTTTCTAGGGAAACAGCTTTCGGAGACAATTTTGTATTCATTGAAAACATAGCCGTTATTTTGCAAGAACTGGGGCGTGCCTGCCTCTTCTCCCCGCTTCTGAAGTTGGAGGTACGTCGTGCACGAGGGAGGGATCAAAATCCAATTCATTTAGAAAACCAACGTAATGACAATGATATCCACTCTTATCAGGCCTCGAGCTTGGAATATACAAACAGGCCACACGCGGGATCGCCGCACAGCCTATAGCGGGAGGTTGCTGTATTTGTTGCTGTATTTGTTAAGGGCGAGGTTTTACGTTTTCCCCTGTACCAGTAATACAATTAATCAAGGCCACGCATTCGTTTCCTCCGTCCATAGCTAAAATGATGAGTCCAAGAGCCGTGATGACGAAGATCCAACGCCTACCCTCATGAAACGCATCCCGAGCGAGGGCCTCCTTTTCGGTTATCCGGGCTTCTGCGTTTATGGTACTCCCCCCACCACCAGGCGCCTGTCTGACCTCAGGCGGCGGCGGAGCCAGGGCCCGAGCACCCGCGGGGGCCCTGGCCGCGGCGGGGCGGGGCAGCCGAGCAGCCACCGGCGCTGCCCCCGCGCGGCTTTAATTTCGCAGCTCCGACCACCGGAAATTAGCCGGCGGCAGAGGGGACTGCCCGCTGGGGAGCTGCGCAGAGGGAGGGCGCGCCCACCGGTCCCGCCGGGCGCCCGCGGGACGCGCCGCCAGAGCCCTCTCCGCCGGGGGCTCGGCGCTCGCCCACCGCTTCCAAATTTAACCATTACCTAAATCCGAAGGGAAATGAGCAAACCTCTCGGATTGGGTGTCAAGGTATTTTCAGCCTCGTTGGGCGTATTTATCCCGAAGTGTTTCCACAACAAGCTATTTCGGGGCCGCGGGGCAGGTTGCGCTCTGCGGACGCGGCGGCCACTTGCCGGGCTCCAGGCCGGCGGCCGCGCGGCCGGGTGCTCCAC